AGTCATTTTGAGAATAATAGATTTGATTTTGAAGGTTTTCTGTACTAATTGCATAGAATCATTTGGTACACAGTATAGTGATCTTACATATGCTCTTCTTGGTATTTTAGAAACCAAGAAATATTAGCTAAGACTTGTTCTTCTGAAGCCATCATTATATTCTAATTGTAGTTTTCTTCTTCTTCTTCTTCTTCTTCTTCTTCTTCTTCTTCTTCTTCTTCTTCTTCTTCTTCTTCTTCTTCTTCTTCTTCTTCTTCTTCTTCTTCTTCTTCTTCTTCTTCTTCTTCTTCTTCTTCTTCTTCTTCTCCTTCTTCTCCTTCTTCTTCTTCTTCTTCTTCTTCCCCCTCCTCCTCCTCCTTCTCCATGTTGATTCTTGGCAACTGCCTGAACTACTGATGTCCCTGCAGTTGTTGTTGTTGTTGTTGTTGTTGTTGTTGTTGTTGTTGTTGTTGTTCTTCTTCTTCTTCTTCTTCTTCTTCTTCTTCTTCTTCTTCTTCTTCTTCTTCTTCTTCTTCTTCTTCTTCCTCCTCCCCCTCCTCCTCCCCCTCCTCCTCCTCCTCCTCCTCCTCCTCCTTCTCCATGTTTTCTTAGCAAGATTTTCAAATATGGCTTGCCATTGCCTATTTCCTAAGGCTGAGAGAGAATGATTCATCCAAGATCACCCATTGGGTGTCATTCCTAAGGTCTCTAAAAATCAGTATTCCAATCTTTGGCCTAATTCCTTAATCACTTAATCTTTTAAGGTTATAGATCACACAATCAATGATGTTTCAGTTTCTTTTTGATGAAGGGTTCTCCCTTTCAATCCTTTTATATTCCTATGTGTTTAATTCAAATGAACTGACCACATGCATTGTGTTATAGTGATGGAGGTGATTTCAGACCCAGATTTGGACTTGAAACAGTTGTAGCTACATCTAGATAAGAAAAGAACTAAAGTATACAACTAGAAAAGCTAGGAGCAGAATCTGATATTGAGAGGCCAAGCAGAATGTCATGCTTTTATTTGATCTTTTTTTTTTATTAGCTTCGGTTTTATACTACCTGACAATTGCAAAGGCTGACAAGGCACTTTCCTATTCTTTCTGTGCCTGAGGGTGATATTATTCTGAAGTCTTTTGTCATATTGTTTTTGTATCCCTTTGGATGTTTTGCCAAGAACATAGTTCAGAGCATGCACAAAGAAGAAAGCCATGTAGGAAGTGTATGACTTTGATACTTGTGTTCTCTTGCGGACATGAGGCTAAGTCACAATTTAATGCTACATCTTGATCCATCATACACCTTGATATTTCATATTTTAAGCAGTATGTGCAGATATTTTTTGTTATTTTCTTTCATACTGCAGTCTTAGTGGGCTAAGTAAAAAGTCCTTGCCACCTCTATAGCATAAGGGAATAGTTATTCATACAGAGGCCAACTCATTTCTAAAACACTGTCAGCTTGGCATTCTGTTGTGAATTGGATATGTATAGATTCTAATGCTTTGAGATTCTGGGTACTACACTGTAACTCTCTTCATTGGTCAGCTTGTTCTGTCCTTAAATGCTCTGCAGCTGAATGCATATAAAATAACAGAGATGATCCTATAAGGGATTAATTTGTCACATGTTTCAAATATTTGTGTCCTGCTATTATACATCAAAGGACGAAATAGTCAATTGCTTCCTGAGTACAAAGTGAAAGTGAAGGTGTAAGATCTCATTCATTTTGGCCTGAAAGTGTTTAAAGCAATACCCTTGAAAGTGATACCACTAACTGAATTTTATTGGCCCTGTAATTCCATCAGGTTTTCACAATAATATTGGTCAATAACTGCAACATCTCAATCCTTGTTTATTTCTCAGTTCTTTCTGGGTAAGCTTCTGGTTTCACAAAAACAGCATTCATAGACCATAACATTATTATGAGTGGTTGCATGGTCAGTCAGATAATAATAATATTTACTATTATTATTATATAGTAGCAAATTGTTATTAAATATTTTAAAATAAGAAAATAGTAATGAAAAGATTCCACAATGATTTCAGCAGCATGTCAGGCCATGATTGTTTATAAACCCATTCTTATGAAGTTTTTCCCTTTTATTAATGCTTCTGGAAAGTTTATGAGAAAGGTAAGAGATTTCTTTAGATGTTTTATGTTCTGAAGATATAGTACCAGAAAACATTCTAAACTCACAGGTACCTAAATATATACTACAACTGATACAAATCGGGCTAAGGCAGGGAATTCAGGAAAAGCAACAAACAATTTCATATTGTACTTATTGTCTGTGAGTTTGGAACTGGATTTTTTTATCAGTATGCAAAATAATTTTAATGAAAATAAACTGCTGATTTACTGTCTGCTGCATTATGTACTGCAGTCACTAGTTCTGCAGTAATTAAGAAAACACTAGTGATCTTATTCATTTGTTTAGTTCATATTCTGATTTTATTTCCCCTCTCATAGAAATCAGGATGGAACACATTGTATTTCGTATATATGTATATATGTATATGTATGTATATATATGTATATATATATAATAGAAATAAAATAGTCCGAGCACCAGGATAATATTAAAACAAAAACTGTTTAATACAAAAGCTAAAGCTAAGCTTTCGTCGGCCAACACTGCCGACATCATCAGAGCATAATACAAGATTACTGGGAGTCCTTTTTATATTGCCGGATGGCTCTGCGCCAGGCTTCTCGATCTAGTCATCGGTCCGTCCGTTTTCTCTACTTGGTTTGTTCTTAAAGGGCACGCATCTCTTGCTGCATTGGTATCTTCCGAGGTTACTATTTTCTTTTTCCTGGGCTCAATCACTTTCTTTCTGCTAGCATACATCGGTTGCTTTCGCTCACTTACACTTATCCCCTTTTTTGGTTCTATTCCGGGATCCATCTGATCTTCCTTGATGGGGTTGTGCGCATGTGTGCTCGGGGGAGGGGGTATATTGAGTGGATCCAGGTGTCTATCAGGGTAGTTTCTGATGGATATGCTCCTACGTCTGTTCTCCCACTCAGGAGTGCTGCCTTCTTCCGTGGACCTACATGGGTATATTGATCCACTTCTGGTTGTCCCCCCATCTTAAGGTCCTTTACTGCTCAATCGTTCATTGGGTTTTTCAGTCCCCCTTCATCGTTTGCTAGTTCTTTTGCCCTTCTTGCACACGTGCAGGGTCCCATGGCGTGGCTTTCCATCGTTTGCTCATGGATCTCTTTTTTGTAGTCGTCGATGGAGTGTCTCATCCCCCCCTCTTGTTAGCGGGGGTCGTGGTACGGGTGCCCCGTGGGTTGTCATCCAGCCATCCGTGTCATTTGCACCCATCATTATTTCTCCTTGTTGTGGGGTGGATTGGGGTGTGCATATTTGGGGTGTCTATGGGGGGGTGTTCTTTGTCTCTTCTCTGTTCCCCTTGTAGGATATGTTGTGAGTTCATTATTGCACAAATGGGCTACCTCCTCCATCCCCCCCTTCCCTCTGATCTTGTGGGGTGTATGCAAATTGCCTTCGTTGTGAGATATGTTTTTCCCATATCTTAAGTGTTTGGTATGCCAGGCAAAGTTCTATATGGCGATAGATAGAATCGCCATCAGAAAGCTACTTCCTTGAGTAGGCGGCCTCCCTTAGTGGTATCCCTGGATATAGGTTGTGCACTGGTAAGATCAAATTCATGCCCATAGTTGGTCATATGGGTCCAAATCTGTGAATCTGCATGCGCGCAAGAAGGGCAAAAGAACTAGCAAACGATGAAGGGGGACTGAAAAACACAATGAACTATCGAGCATATATATTTATATAAAAGTCAGAAAGTAATAAAATATCATTCCCATCTAGGATTCAGTCAATATGTTATAAAGCATGCTTTTGATTTCTTGCAATATTTCATTTGGAATGAATTCTATTACTTCATTCTTGTGTGTCTCTGTGTATGGGTATGTCATTGAGGGGAAAAAAAAACCACATAATAAAACTGGAAAGGTCAGTCATTTGGGATCAATACTTTTCCAGAACTTTGATGTCTATGTTCCACCTAGTACTGTGATAAATAATGTGTAGAATCTTGTTAAATTTAAACCATGATTAATGGATCTATAACCAATTTTCACTGTGTGTTCTTTCACTTGTACTAATACAATTTTGCGAAGCGGAATGGGATACACACCTCCAATTTCTCTGCTGATTAGCTAAGAAAATTTTGATAGCTACTTCCAATGTCTGTTCGAATCTTCTGGCTTATTTTGTAATATAATTACTATAGCTCCATGCATATTTGACACTTGGCCTTGAGCCATATATACAGTTTCAAAATTGGTAATTGATCTAATTGGACATCCTTTTCCCCACAAAATGATATGTCTGTTGCTATTACCATTTAACTCTAAGCCTAAACGAAGTTCTCATCAGACTTCCAGGTGACCTGTTTTTTTCCTTCTTAAATAAATCCTTATATTAAGCCTCCCTTTCTCAACCTTTCAAATCTACCGTTTTTAAAAGAATTTGATGCAAAGGGCAATATATTTGGGGGAACTGTTAGAACATGATGTTCTCTCTATCTTAAAATACTTCTCGGATAGAATGAGATAGGATTTCTGGATGCAGGTACTTTCTAATTTTGTATGGATGGAATTTTATTTTATACGATATCATGTTTAGTTTCCCAACATACCTGCCTTTTAAATTTATATTCTGTAGATATGCATTTTATAAAATGCAACTGTGTTTGTCTAAATTCACACTTTATTGAATCAGAATCAATATGCTGTAGATTAATTGGTTTATAGTGCAAAGACAATTACCCAATTTTGAGAGCAGTTTCTAAGCTTTTTTTTTTTACAATAGAATTATGCACATATGAGTCAAGAAATGTCACTGTGAATATACACATGTTCTGTTTCAAGAATTGGAAGTACTGTTAAAAAAGAGTGTGCTATATTTTTTTAACCCATGAAGAAAACAGGTAATACTGTTTTGGTTTCAATCAACTTCTGCATCAATTATTCAACAGGCAACTCAAGGAGGTGGTCACAGAACTCTGCTGTATGGCCATGCGGTTCTGCTTCGGCATTCTTTCAGTGGAATGGTAAGAGAGATGGAGCGACGGAGAGAAGAAAGCGCAACAGAATAAAACTAATAAAATATTTGGTGGAGCTCACTGCCCTTTCAATGCCATCTTGGGTGCTCCCCAAACTGGGATGAAAGTTCCAACTCTGCATCACAGCACATCCTTCTCCCGAAACACAATAAATAAATCATTCATCTCAACCAGGCACTCTAGAGGGCATGGGGACTAGCTTTGGAAGACAATGGGAGAATCCATTACTAAGGGAACAATCAGACAAGCATGAGTTGACCCAATCCAAGAGATAAATTTAAGAAGCCACCTCAGTCAGGACCCTCACTCATACATATGAAGATAACATGAGGGAGGAGAGATGCACAATCAGATTTTCAAGACTGTTGTTGTACTGTAGCTAGTCTAATAAGAGGTACTTTGAGACTCTTATTGGTACAACTTGCAGACTTTTCAATTGATATGGCCAATTTTGAGAAGTCCAGAACAGTTTTAAAGACCTCAAATTCAAAAAGGCTGAAGTGCAGCCTCATTGTAATAGTGCTCGGTGTATGATTAATTAATTAATTAATTAAACTTGTATGCCACCCATCTCACCACTGAGTGACATTGCATAGCTAATTTTATATCGCACAAACTATTGTAAATTTGTAGCTTTGATACCATTTCTCTATTGAATTCCACTATATATTTTTTTAAAAAAAATTAAACGGTTTTTAAAATAAAAATTCTTTTTGAAGTCAGTCATGGCAATTAAATTGAAGCACATAAGCATTCAAATTGATATCTATTCATTTCAATGCAAAAGAATTTGAAATATTGTCACTTATTCATGAGAACAGTGGGCTCATATATCTCAATTCAGATCCAAGGCTTCATTGAGATACATCTACACAAAATTATTTGAAGGATCTTACTAACTTTAAAATGTTTTTCAGTATTTGACATGTTTAACAACATCAAGATCTCAGACAGATAAACTTGCATTTGATGTGGGCCTACAGGAAAATACAATAGGTACGTATGCAATCTTATATCAAAATATCACCTGAGGTTAGAGGGCCTAAAACATCTGTAATTTGTTTGTAAAATCTAGTTTATCAGTCATGTAAGGTTGACATAATTTTAACGGTTGATATAGCTTTTAGTTTTGGCTGCCTGCCTAGAACTACCAAAAGCAGAATAATTATTCAGTCCTTGGCAAATTACAATATATGATTAGTATCCTGTTACGCATTCATGCGGTATTCATGTACCTATGCAGAGAGACTATGCTTTCTTATTGTATTATACAAAATTATTCTGAAACAAATATATGAATTGCAGTTAGGGAAACAAACTACAGTTAGGTGAGCATTAGTACTGATAATTCTTGTTCTTATCCACGGAGAAGATGAAAAAAAATCATTACTCATTGCTACATGCAGGGAAAGCCTTAAATGAAAACAAAAGCCTACTGAGCTTAAAAGTGTAATTATCTGTGTTTAAATATGTGCCACATTCAGTCATATATACTGGGTTCGGACCCAAAGGCAATTGTGGCAAGCTATATATTGACTTTGGCAGTATGCATACATGTATTTTAGTAGACTCTTTGAGGAACCCTAAGCAGAACATCCATACGATAGGAATCCTGTAGAGAATTTACTTCCAACCATCTGTGGAGAACTTTCACCTTCTGAGTACAGTTACTCATTCACTGTCTCACTGTCTGATTTACTCATTGCAGTTTTCAAGTGGAAGAGTCTAAGAATTTAATGGATATGTTTTTATATTTTTAAATATCCTAAACTTGCTTGAAATGGTCTGAGACCTTTTTCACTCACATGTAACGTGGGTCCTTCTGCTAACTATAGGTGAAACATGTTGGTGGACCATACACCCTGCTTCTAAACAAAGGTCAGAAGGAGAAAAGGTACGGATTGGAGATGATCTTATTCTAGTTAGCGTGTCCTCAGAAAGATACCTGGTAAGCATCTAGAACTATTCATAATAACTTTAATGTGACTGATTGATGCCTTTGTTGAGTTTTTGCCTTATTTTTTTCCAGTTAGAAACATACCTACAGGTAGTCCTTACAGCAGTTTGTTTAGTGACTGTTCAAAGTTACAACAGCATTGAGAAATGTGACTTATGATCATTTTTCACAGTTACAGTCTCTGCAGCATCCCCATGATTATGTGATCAAAATTCAGATTCTTGGCAACTGGTTCATATTTATGACCGTTGCTCTGTCCCAAGGTCACGTGATCACCTTTTGCGACCTTCTGACAAGCAAAGTCAATAGGGAAGTCAAAGTCACTTAACAACTGAGTTACTAACTTATCAACTGCAGGGATTCACTTAACAACTGTGGCAAGAAAGATCATAAAATGGGGCAAAATTCGCTTAACAAATGTCTCACTTAACAATAGAGTTTTGGGGCTTAATTGTCATAAGTAGAGGACTACCTGTATTTCCTCTGCATGCCTTTTCATAGAATTATGATCAGTACATCTTTCAATAAATCTGAGTTTGAAAAAAAATAACCCTTCCTTTTTGATGCTGTACTGCAGTTCAAGAAGTGTCAGGGAGGAAAAGATAAGTCTGAGAGGCTCAAAGTGGGATTGTGAAATAGAAACTTTTGTTTCTGTTGAAATAAATTGATGAAACACATTATTAATTTGCTTCTAATAAAATACTCCCATAATGAAACAGGACGGATAAAAAATAATGATGAAGAAAATCAAATAAAAGATTTCTGAGAATGGTAAACTGTATTCGTTTTAAATATAACATAAGCTTTAACTTTAAAAAAAGAAGGAAGTAGAATGCTACTTATACATCAATTTACCAAATATTGGGATTAATTTTTTCCCCTAAATCTTATAAACCCCAAGACCTAAAAGTTAAATGCTGTGTTTTTATACTTCCTTTGCAATAACAATAATAGTTTTTTGGGTTTTCACTTTTTCTCTTTGCAGCATCTTTCTGTGGCATATGGAAACATACAGGTAGATGCTTCCTTTATGCAAACACTCTGGAATGTGCACCCTACTTGTTCAGGAAGCAACATTGAAGAAGGTTTGTTCAGTATGATGGTTATGCTACTAGTTGAAATTACTAATTATTTGCAAGTGTGCATTGTAATTTCTACAGCTAAAAATATACTATAGTTGCTCTTCAAATTTTAATGCTTTGGGTATTGTATGGTTTCCAATGACAAACCTCTTCTAGCATAATCCTTGTAGCCTAGGATTATATTTAGAATCTTGAATCCTGAATTAAAGCAAAGCAGTCTGTGCGTAGATTATTCTGCTTTTACTTACAATGTGCAGATATAATGTAGAACTTCCTGATTGGCTTGAATAGGGAAACAGTAGAACCGTGAGTTGAAAAAGGATTTATAGTTTGCTACAAATAAGCTGAAAGAAAGTATCACATTCCTCCCGGCTTTATTTTGACATGGAGATTACTACGTACAGTATGTGCTATAGAAGTATTTATTTTTCACTGAAAACAGGTGTCATTTACCCTTACTGACCTCAGCAAACAACCTATGTGATTATCTGTGTAGATTCCTGATGAATCTAATGAATTTAGAGATCCTTTGATTATATCTTAATTTTCAGTTTTTATTCCTTCTAATGAGAACTATTTTATAAGAGAAAGGCAGAGATAGCAATAGCAATAGCACTTAGACTTATATATTGGTTCACAGTGCTTTAGAGCTCTCTTTAAGCAGTTTACAGATATAGAAAACAGATCTTTTTTATTTCCCTATCACAGGACAATATGTGCAATAACTTCTGGTAATGCTATTACATTTTGGATCAAACTGGTATATCAAACCTCCTTCCTTCCTTCCTTCCTTCCTTCCTTCCTTCCTTCCTTCCTTCCTTCCTTCCTTCCTTCCTTCCTTCCTTCCTTGCTTGCTTATCTTGGAAGATAAAATTCCAGGGTATTCCTTTGAAAAGTCAAGAGACACACATACATACCTGAGATGTGTATTTTACACCATTTAGTAAGTGATTGGTAGAAAGATGAATGGATGGTATATAATATTTTGCATTTTGCATGTCAGCATTCAACATTTAAATAACGTATTTGAAATCAATGAATGGAAACTTGGGGTTGACTAAAAGGGGAGGGAAATGCTGGCAAGTCTCAAAAATCATTGCCAGCAACAGAACTTTAATAATATTGTAATTATGAACAATGGAAAAATTTAACATTGCTATATACCCCAGTTAGACTGGCTGTATATAGAATAATCCACCAATATGTTTTTAGCATACATTTTGCCAGAAGTAATGCCCGACATATTTATAAAAATGCTTAAAGACAGTTTGTATTTGGAATACTTATATGATGGCTTGGAGAAAAAAACGAGCATTTTTATCAAGCCTTGGAACATTTCACTGCAATTGGGGATTTCCAGAAAGAGCCAGAAAGAAAAAGGGAAATCAGGAGATGTTGTGAAAACTACTGTAGATTGGAAAAAGTGTTCTCTTTAAGACATGTTAAATCTTCCATTCATTTAAAAGATAACAAGCTTATTAGTGCCAAAAATCTTATTGTTTGGCCATCAATTGCATTTTGTATTGCAATTGTATTTTTTCATGATGTAATTTTTCTGTACATAGAAAGCTAAAACCTTTTAGCAAAAAAAGATGGGGGATGGAGGGAGAGAGGAAAGAAGAAAAAAAAAGGAGATAGGGAGATGTGACAACCACTGTATGCATTCTTTTTGTAAATGGCTAAAAATAGTGCCAAAGAAATTAGATCCTTTGAAAATTGTTTTCAAATGGAAAGCACCTGCTCTTTTTTTTTTGGTCTCAGTATGAGTGAAATGTGAAAGCTTTTGCTTCAGAAAGGTTTGCAAAATGTCACCTTTCAACTTGATTCTGATGCTTTCATCATACCCAGCAACCCATTTCCTCTGCTGCTGCTTCTTCTTTTGGCTTCTTTTGTGTTGAAGTCAAACCCTATTCTGATAAATTCATACGTGCTTTGAGATTTATTTTTTTTGATAATCCTTATATGGCTTTTGTTCTGCACAGGCTTTCCCAATGCAGAACTCTGTTGGATCCAACATGTTTAGGGGAACTTGCCTGAAACAGTCTTAAAATCTCTGCGAAGCCACACAGTCTAAAAGTTCTTAATCCATTGGTCTTTAATTTTAATGTTGGGCTTGAATTTCTAATTATTTTAGCGTTTTGTGTTGACAGCATTATATTCAGATCTGTATCTTATGTAACATTTGTTTCCAATACATATTAATGGGATTGTTGTTCAGCAAGTGAGTTTAGGACAATTCACACAGAGATACTGATGAATCATTTTCCTCTTGTTTGCAACAAGACAATGCCTTCATTTATCCTGGCCTCTCTGTGTTTAATGGGTTGGAAATTTA